TCGCGTCTCAATATCTTGGGGTGTATCGCTTGAGTCATTCGCAGAGCACTTTTCTCTTAGGTCTTCAACGCTACCGAGTACATCGATACCGATCTTCGAGAAGAGGGAGTCGACAGTGCTAAACATCCAATCATCGGCATTGACAAAAACCTCAAGACGGTCTTCGTAATACTTGTCTTGATCGAATGCAACTTCTTCAGGTGGTAGAGTGTCGGCATTTGACTCTCGGGCTCGGGTCCGTCTGCTTTTCATGCGGCCGCCCTCCGGTTCTTCGTTCGCAGCCGACGCAGACGATCTTTTGCGGACGTGCACTATAGAGTTCGTGTCAACTTCTTCTGCATGAGTCCCATCTTGTTCGGCCTGTTGATCTTGTGGCTGCGTTGATTGACGTTCCAACGACTCCATCAATTGCTTTTCAGCACTCTGATCGATGGACGATTGTTCCTCGCCTCGCTCAGAGGGCTCTTTCGTTAGCTGAAGTAAATTTTCTTCGGGCTTGCCATTACTTTCGGTTGCCTCAAGCATCACGTCGGCAACCTCATTACAACCCTTGTGTCCCTCGTTATCTATAGCCATTTCCGTGTCCTCCGCATTGTGTGTGGGTGTGGTTGGATCTTGGGAGTTTATTGCTGGTAGGATAATACCGATGGACCGAGTGGGAACCGCAGCGAGCGAGTCATTATCTTCATCGTCAAGTGTTTGGAGAAGCGCCTTGCCAACTGACTCCCAGGTCGAGTCGGCAGGATTTATCTCTCGGCGGAAAGCGTGCAGGGCAAGAGGGCCCTTTGTCGGATTTAGGCAGCGTAAATCGGCAGGAAGGGCGGGCAAATTCGGATATGGATCCTCATGCTGTTTGAGGTATTTCAATAATGCTTTTTTTGGCCTCTGGGCGGGGATTTGCGACGCAGATAACTTGTCGAAGAGGGACTGCAGCGTGCTCCGCAAGCGTTGCTCCGCGAATATCTCCTCTAGGCCAAGCTGCTCTGACCTTAGTTCCAAGCGATTGTCATCGTCCGCTAGCACACTTTCCAAGCAATACCGAGACAAACGGTAGCTGTTTAAGGAACTGCTGAGTCTTGCGCTTTGCCTCCAGAGGTTGAGATCTGAGTCGTCACGTTCCAAGGCATCCCCAAAAGACCCTAAAGCCTTCCTTGATGCCTCCGTCAACTTCCTTTGTGTTTCCTGCTCGGATTCGGGGGTCTGTGGCGCGGTTCGTATGGAGTCTTGTACTGAATCGAGGACGAATTTGCCGTGATTTTTATAGGACAGATAAAGCGTTTGGAATAGACTAGAGGTAGAGTCGTTGACGTTGAACTCAGCGATTGATTCTGTAGCAAGTTCATCTTGCACATCGTCGAATGCACCCCTTTTGAAATCAGAGATCGACTCTGGGTATTTGAAGATATCCGAATTGAGAAGAGCTTGATAGGCCTCTGCAGCCTGGGAATAATGCTCTGGCCCTTGTGAATGCAGTTTCAGGGCACCATGGTAAAGCTTCAAAGCTTCCTCGATCTGAAGCTCCTTGGTGTCGTCAACTTCCTCTTCGACAGCCTCATCGGGCTCCACATTCAATGCCACCCAGCTCGACATGGTATGAGCTCCACGTAGGGTCCCTCAAATCTTAGCTGAAAAAGAGAAATCTGGCGACAGCATCGGGGAGGATACTGAGACCCTAGACTAGATGCGGGCAAGAAGCAAATCAATTGGTTATCGCGGACAGCACCCATGGACGTTATCACGCGTTGCACCAATCGGGGAAAGTGATTTGGGGCCTGGGTGCCTGGGTGCCTTGTGGCCTGGAACCCTTTTCTTAGAGAGTAACAACAGTTGGGGTATTCTAGATCACTCTTCGCTTTCCCCTCAGCGCAACCCCTGAAACGTCTTACGATTCACGCAGCATTCATTGCATTTAGATACCCTCATCTTCGATTCCATCGCGCTTGTGCAGGTGCCATGGTCGCGCCCGCTGTTCCTGAGTATGTGCTCATCTCCCCATTTACGTGTTCCCCGGGTTGCGTATGCATGGCCATTGTTCGAGATTGTCGAGAGTTGCCACTACGAAAATTACAGGAGGTGTGACTGACATTGAGAACATAATTTAGGATCCATGAGGAGGAGGATATCTATGTTGCCGTCGATGCGCGAACGGAGTCCTTGCAGAGCTTGCGAGAATTAGGCCCTCCAGACTTGGTCTATTTGGTGAAGCAGCCTAAGGCCAATTCCACTCGCCAGGTAGGTTAGAAGATACCAACTTTTCTTTCATGATACAATCTTTCATCTGTGAACAATCGATTGATTTTCTATCGATCGCAGACCGGACTTTATCACCATGTCACCGGAATCGACGCCTCCTCGTCCGCTAGCTTAGCCGCCTATGTTAATACCCTCACATTCTCTCCCCTCGACAAGACGCATAAAGTGGTATCGGGGATTTACTGGTTAGAATCTATTTGGTACAGTGTTGGGTTCCCATGCTGATGTCTATACAGTTGCTACAATGCATTCTCCCATCTCGATATGCGCGTCGAAGTCAAAATCCCCGGAAGCTTGGAGAGCTACTGCATTGATGAGCGCGGTGACAAGCGAGTTGCTACTGAGGCTCTTTGGCTTGAGACCTTCCTTTGCGCCGTTCTGAGGGCTTATCTCTATGCGGACGACGGAAGTGGAGATTCTGTCAAGAAGATTGTTGGAGTTCGACGATTCAACCCCGTGACAAACACGGAGATGGAGCACAAATTCTTAGATGCTGCCGAAAAGCTGTTCTTCTTGGGTATAGATATCGAACCAATTTGCCTGCTGTGTCTCTGACTAACAACATTTCAGGCCGCCAACTGAGCTCTGACCCCGAAACCCAAGTCCCTAACACTGTGAGCAACCACCTCACAACCGGCATCCTCAAATACATACACACGACTGGCCGTTATACATCTGGAATCAACTTGTTTGAGAAGCTCCGCACAAAGGATGTAGAGGTTTCGTCCCTACTGGCTCGTGTACAGATTATGGCAGACGAGGAGGTGCAAGCGGTACGCCTCATGTACGACGCTTTGCAGGATGTTCCGATGGACTATGCTCTTCTTGATTGCCAGGCTAGTTTCTGTCAAAGCAAAGGCGAAAGCGAAATGGCGCTTGAGTGCGCTAAGCGTGCAGTTACTGCAGCTCCAAGCGAATTTAGTACATGGGCTCGCCTCGCAGAGGTATATGTCGGTATGGAACGCTGGGACTTGGCGCTTCTGACTCTCAACTCGTGCCCCATGTTCACCTATCAAGATAAAGATACCCCTCGCATGCCACAACCGTCACGCATCATGCTCCCAATTCTTGCTGAAAGCCTTCTCGATGAAATCGACGAAGGCCAGCCAAAACAGGGAGACCCTCACGACTATGTTCACCCCTCGCTTCGAAAGATCCATGCTGCTAGTTACCAAGGTACTTTCTTAAAGGCGTACAATCTTCTGACAAAAATCGCTGCTGCCATTGGATGGGATCAGTTACTCAAGGCTCGCAGCCAGGTCTTCGTGATGGAAGAAGAATACCGTGTTGAGCGACAACATGTTCCTAAGCCCGCTACGAACGGCAACAGCCCCGCCAACGAAGATGACTCTGGCTCTGTGGCTGGCCCTGACTCGAGCGAGCCGTCTTCGGAAGAAACTACTAATGGAGATGCGGGAGACAGTCACCCTGAAAGCCCCCTCGAGCGACCGGAGCAAACAGTAGCATCTGAAGTTGCCAAGTCTGGCAAGGAAGATGTATGTTTCAAACACATCTGGACGAATTTCATAATGAGCTAACTGTTTGTGTCACAGCCCGACCCATCTCACGCTTCATACACGCAATTCCGAAACAAGCGACTTTGTGAAAGATGGCTAGATAACCTGTTTATGGTACTTTACGAGGATCTGCGCATCTACACCATCTGGCGGACCGAAATGGCCCAGTCCCGTCAACAAGCAATGGAATACAAGAAGTCTCCTACCGAGTGGGAAATTCTTGGTGAGCTTGCACAGAGACTGCACCATTTCGACGAAAGCATTGAGGCATACCAGAGCTGTCTCGCCACTCGGTTCTCGCCCAAGGCTATGCGTGGAGTCTTGAGGTTGTACGAAAAGCGAAATGACACCAGAGGCATGCTCGGCGCATTGATCCGTCTCATCGCCTGGCAATATCGCTGGTACTCCGAGGTATGCTCCTTTCTCTAGCTAATATCGCTCGGACCACTATAACTAATAAACTATTCAGTTCTCCCCCGAACTTTTGTTCCTAGTTCGCAAGCTCATTGAGGACGAGGGTGCTGTCAAGGTCCGCAGCATTGTCCAAGCGACAAACCTGCCTCAAGCCGTCCTCGACCTCACACACCAGTATTGTCAACTATGTGCCACCTTCCGCAGCAGTGGTAGCGACACTTGAATATGTTCGCGATGATCAAAGACAAGCTGAGTTGGAGTTGGAGGACAATTTGATGCCTTCCCCTGGATATCAAGATAGAAAGTGGAGCGCAGGCAGGGCTAATGACCACCCTTGATGACACCCCTTGTTTTGCACTTTCTCTTGGTCCGATTGTTAGTTTTCTTAGATGGTATATATTTTATATGTTCCATATCTAGTCGTGTGCCCCATCCAACATGATAGGTGGATCCCGTACGGAGTAACCCTAGTAGTTTGGGGTCCGTATCCATTTAGGCCTCGACTTCTCACTGCCCAACGCTAGTATATGCATCGGAACCCACTGTGGAGAGAAACATAGGACTCAGCCAGTAGCGGCGATTTCTATGCACGTCATCTTCCAAGTCCCCGAGAACACAGCGAGGATTGGCTACTTCCATGAACTAACTTGATGTCCCTAAATCTATAGACACATAGGACTCTACATTCACAGCATCTCTAGTTGGATACAGGAGACTATCACAGCAAAACAATCCAATCACCCACTCAAGGGCGAATTGTATTTTAGTTCAACATAAATTTTTTGCCGCAAAGAAACCAAATTCTCGATAGCAAAATCACTCCTCTTCTTCAGCCGCCTCAATTTCAGACAGATCTGACTCCTTAGGAACAGCACCGTCCTTAGCTCGAGCAGCACTGGCAGCCGGAACACTCTTCGTGGCGGTATCAGCGGCACTCTCTTCCTCGGCGTCTTCCTCACCAGGCTCTTCGTCTCGTTCGCCACTTGCGCCGTTCGCGCCCTCGGAACCCTCGTCATCATCGACGGGAATGGCTTCAGTCTTCTGTTTCTTGGCTGCCGGGGCGCCTGAAAAGGGGTGTATGTAAGCGTGGGAAAGTTGGGGATGAAGAGGATATCCATAAAGGCTAAGGGGAAAACGTACCATCCTCTTTGCCTTTCTCTTTGCCTTTGTCTTTGCCTTTGTCTTTGCCTTCTGCTTTTGGTTTTTCTTCTGCTCCTTCTCCTTCCCCTTCCTCATCTTCGTCAGACTCCGACTCTCCTTCCACCTCTTCCTGTTCTCCCTCATCGCTTCCTTCCTCTACGTCGGGTTCGGAGTCTTCATACCTAATTCAACGCGCGATCGGGTTAGCAAAGACCAATTATGTTTGAGAGGTTTCGCGCGACGTGTTTCGAGGTCGTCTCGTGATGGAGGCATAGCTAGTACAGCCGTGCAGAATTGTAGTGGAATGATGCGTAGGACATGCAAGAATGCGAAGAAAGGGAGAATTGATAACGAGATGGAACAACATATGAACTCACTCTTCCTCCTCTTCACTCTCATCGCTAGGAAGGGCCTGGAGCTCCTCCTCAGTCTCTTGCTTTCTCTTGCGGGTAGTCATCGTAAAAATATTTAGGAGGTTGGTAAGAATTAACTCAGTATAGAGGGTAGGGAAGGATGGAATTATAAGGGAGAGAGAGAGAGAATGTTCTGAATTGGCAAAAGTCCCTTGAGTCTTGGGGGAGAATGGTAATTATAGAGAGGAGCAGAGCTCTAAGAAGAAGGGAGGGGGAAACCCAAGAGCATAAGCGGGAGTGACGGTGACGACATGGGAGTGACAAGACCTTAGGGTTAAGGTCCACGGGTGATAGCTTACACTCCGGAGTGCGTGGTCCATGACAGAAGTGTGCGTGTCGCCAACCCTGGATTCTTGCACTATTTACATTCCGTGCCCATCTATGGTATCCAAATGTTGATATCCTTGGTATCCTTGATATTTTTAGGTTTGCGTCGATTCCTTGCTTTGCGGGGGGTCTTCATGGTCATTGTGTTAGAAAGTCAAAATCTGCCATACTCGGATCTAGCAGATTCTCATCAAGACCAAATCCGTATGTGCCGACCATTCCATAGATCAGATCCGGTGGAGGGAATCCCTGTGCCATGGCATTGGCTCCCCCAGGGACCTCGCGGCCTTGCAGCGCAGTATCGTTGTTTCCTTGGAATTGCCAAGAAGCCTCCCAAGAGTCAAAGCGCTCAAGCATCTTGCCCAATCCACGTGCGATATGTCGAGTAAGATGTCGATCACCGGCAGAGACGCAATTCATTAATTCGATCACACGTTCAACTAGCCGTCGCACTTGTCGAGCGTTGATGCTAAGGTAAGCTGTGTTCCAATTGATTGCGACCTTGAGTAGGAAAACAGCGGAGAATGTAACCATAGTGTGGGTGAAGATCGGAACGCCAACAATCGCATCCCGAATATCAGGCTCCTCGAGAACCATATTAAGACATGCCATCGCGGAGGAAATTGCGATGTTGGCCGATTCCTTGCGGTCCATAGAGAAGACGGGTGTGTTGGATGGTGAGAGCGCACGAAGAGAAAGCGAGTTCAGCTGGAACTTTGCAAAATGGTAGTGCAGAACCACTCCTTTCGATGGATAAGTCCGCACATAGGTGCTATCGGCTGTAATGCATTCCAAGTTATGTTAGAACCGAGAGTTGCTGAGAATTAGGCTAAAACGTCACTCACCAGATCGAGGCTGCCAGAGAAGTCGCCATTGGTCTACTGCGACATTGTATACGCGCAACTGTCCAAAATCTTCCTCCGTCAATGTTTGTTCAGTGTCGCTACCAAACATTCGATATGCCTCAGTCAAGATCATAAAGAGAGCCACTTGAGCTAAAAGTCGAATGTCTCCGGGGACGATCATCGGCAGCGCGAGGAAGGTCTCATAGTTGCGGATCACCACATCCTCGTGGATGACAGGTGGCCGCCCATACGCAATACTGAAGTGATGATCGCACACGTAAAGCAAATACCAGAGCTGCGCGCGTTCATACTGATCCGTGTGTCCACGGGTCAGGCGCTGATAGCTTTGATGGAGACCCATCTCGGTCGCGATTCGTACTGCATGCCCGGACAACTTCCAACTCAACTCTGATAGCCAGAATGCCCCCACACAGAGGCCTCGGATATCATCCAAGGTGTGGGCCCGTGTGAGGGCCATGTTGGATACGAGCGATACATACTCGCTGTAGCAGCGGTTCAAAGTTTCGGTGCGGTTCGGAATATGAAGTGCCGCGACAGTCAAAACGGCTGCAGAAAGAAGCGTCGATGCGCGACGGACGGACGTTAAATCGCGGTGTACAAGAATTATTCCACCCCACAGTAGCTGGTTCATGGTGCGACTGAAGTACGCGAATAATTCCTCCGCTTCATGGAGGGAGATCAATCGTCGTGAGATGAAATCTTCCTCTAGCAATGTCTGTTTCGGTGCCTCGACATGATTGTTTCTTAGGTTCCGTAATTTAGTGACCTCGTATAGACTGCGCATAGGAGCAGGCACTAATTCTGGGTCTTGGAGATCCTGCTCCGGCGACGGCTCCCGAGTAACATCCATCACGACTCCCAGTCCCTCCTGGTGACTGATTTGTGTCTGCGATCGACTGACGGAAGGGTGGCCATGATACGACTCGGCAGGACTGGGGCCATTGAGAGTCTCCCCGGAAGCATAGGTTGAGAGCTCAGGCAGTCCGCCTTGTCGCAATAGGTGCGAAACAGCCGCCTGCAGCTGTTGCATAGTCGCATTGGCCTGTGATTTCCATCTATACCAGCGCCATTAGATTAGCGCCCCCGATAGGTCCAAAGCCTCACCAAAGGGCCGGGGCGGGGTCACACGTACATCCCATCATCATTAACAAATTTCTGTGAAAAGTCGTTTACGACGCACTTGATACCGCTGCGAGTACATTTTGTACAAGTTGACTCTCCTGACCGAAACTCACAGCGAATCTTATGGCGCTTGCATTCTGCGCCTATTCCCTGTTAATTAGGAGGCATTGGAGATGATGTGGGGAAGACTCACATGCACGAGCTTTGGAGATCTTGGGGACAGAACGTGTCTTGCTCTCTTGGGGTGATTCCAGGCCAGCGTCATCAGGGGATCGTTTCAGTGGAGTACCGGTATCCATGATGTGATGCTACTCTAGAGGATAGTGGGAAGAGTCGGTGATACTCCGGCACGCAGTTTAGGGGAGAAATCTTCTCCCGAGTGGGGGGAAAGCGTCGGAGTAAAGCGACTGGACTCGAGTACGCCGAAGAGCCAGAGATAAATTGCAGTTTATATTTCGAGGAGGTTGTTATGGCCAATAGGGTAATGTATGTACAACATAGCAAGAGAAAGGAAGAGGACAAAAATAAATCGTGTGACTTGGGACCCCCCGCAGGCTCGACTTCCCCGAAATCCTCACCCTAGACGTTATTCTGTTGAGATATTGTTGGCTTTTTAAGATTCAGGTCTGAATTTTGAATTGGATATGTTCCTTGGATAGAGTCTAGTATATAGCTTATTGTCCTCGACTTCTAACTGACAGGCTGACAGGCTGACAGGCTGACAGGCTGACAGGTCACAACACCCGTGGACAAGGCATTCCCCAGGATTCAACCCCAATTGAGATCCCCCAGACAAAAGAGGGCCCTGAAAGATGACACTCCAAGGCGATTCGCGCACAGCAGTTCCACAGCAGATCCACTTAGGAAGTGAGTCCCGGCCCAAGTCCGGTGCGGAGGACCAGCTACGGATCGCCTCGGACTTGATGCGAATGCGGAGACTAAACTTACATATTGAAATACATCATCATCATCCCTCCCATATTCCCTCTTCATCACACCAATCTCAAGAAAATGCATGTCCTCATCACTGGCGCTGCCGGCTTCATCGGCCAATTGCTTGCGAAAGAGCTGTTGAATGACCCAGCCTATCGCGTCACACTGACCGATATACATCAACCTCCGATCCCCGCGGGCGTTCGCTATCCTCAATCCGCAACGGCAATCAAGGTCGATCTCTTGACAGGCGCCAAGGACATTGTCGATTCTTCCTTGGACGCCGTCTATGCCTTCCACGGCATCATGTCGTCCGGCTCCGAGGACAACTTCGATCTAGGCATGAGCGTCAACGTCGATGCAACCCGCAACCTACTCGAGGCGTTGCGACACACCTGTCCCGGAGTCCGATTCATCTATTCGTCCAGTCAGGCCGTGTATGGCCGACCGTTGCCAGAGATTGTGACTGACAGCGTGATCCCGACTCCAGAGTCCTCTTACGGTGCCGAGAAGATCATTTGCGAAACATTGGTGAACGAATACACTCGCCGTAAATTCATCACCGGGTTTACCCTGCGGTTTCCTACCATCTCCGTCCGACCGGGTGCACCCACTGCTGCAGCTTCGTCCTTCCTTTCCGGCATGATCCGGGAACCCCTTGACGGCCAGCAATGTGTGATCCCCATTAAAGACCGACAGTTCAAGTCGTGGCTATGCTCGCCCAAAACCCTTGTGGAAAATCTCCTTCTCACTCTCCGTCTTCCTGCGGACTCCGTTCCCCCGCACATTCGCCAGATTAATGTGCCTGGAATCTGCGTTACAGTCCTGGGCATGATGGATGCATTGGAAGCCGTGGGCGGTGCAGATAAACTCGCCCTTCTAACAGAGAAGGAGGACCCTGCGCTGGTTCCAATTTTGAAGTCATGGCCGACGCAGTTTGATAACACTCAAGCCATCTCCTTGGGGTTCAAACGCGACGAGTCTTTCGAGCAAACCGTGCGGGATTATAAACAGTCATTGACACAATATAGATCTTAGAAGTTCAATGACGTCGTTTATTAGTTGATTTCTAAACTCTTTGTCATTTTACCTGTTACATAAAAAAGGAGGTTTCCGGTATAGACCAGGGTTGTGCTAGTCAGTTGTCAGCCCAAGTCGCCATCTGGGCACCACCCGCTTTTCCTACCAACCCACCTCCCTTCAACTCTTGGGCTGTTCACCCACTTGGGTGGGATATTCTATAATCTTTTACTCCGAAAATCAATCGTTCCAAAATGCCAACACAAATCTCGCTTCTCGTGTACAAAGGCGTGCCAGTAGACTTCTCCAAATACCGACACACAGCGCTGCACGCCCTCTACTCCGACGGCCAATATGATTGGCTTCATGCTGTCGGCGCACACCCTTTCTTCAAATTTCAAAAGGACACAGAGAACCCGATTTCTGAGCCGCCAATAGCCTGGATTCCTGTATGTACGGTGCCGGACTCTGTCACTAAGGAGAAGATCATTTGTGCATGTGCTTGCACGCCGGTGCGCAATGGCAATAGCGACCGAGACTGGAACTGCCAGAACTGGGTTGGAGAGGCCTTGACTGAGCTCGTCAAGATTGGCTGTTTGACCAAAGAAGAGCGCGGAGTGGCGATTGGTAAAATGGTGGAGATTATCTTAGAAGCGGAGCTGGAAGACGTGAGTCCCGTTCTAAATAACTGTTCTATGCAGGAAATTATGTGGACTAATGTGGATTTGTTGCTTGTACATAGGATGGGATGTATTAGTCTTTATGGCTTTTTTCTG